CTACTAAAATTAAAAAAAAAAAAAAAAAAAAAAAAAAAAAAAAAATCGGTGCGGCATAGTGGCTCATGCCTGTAATCCCAGAATTTTAGGAGGCCGAGGCAAGTGGATCACCTGAAGTCAGGAGTTCGAGACCAGCCTGGCCAACGTGGTGAAACCCCATCTCTACTAAAAATAAAGCAATAAAAGTAAAGCAATGTGAGAGAGATTAGGATGATTGGAAAGGAAAAGTTAGGGGGTTGCTTTTTTATACAGAGTATTCAAGAAAGTTGTGGACTGATACTTGGACATTTGAGCAGAGACCTAAAAAGAGCTAGCTATTGAGGTATGTGGAGAGAAACATTCTATCAGAGAAAACAGTAGTGCAAAAACCCTAAGAGGCGAGTGTGCATTGCGTGTTTGCCAACTGTGAGACAAGGTGGCAAGGAGGAAAAAGGAGGATGAGAATAGTAGAAAATTAGGTTTTTGAATATAAATGGGCCAGAGAGATATGAAGGTATAACTGTTTGCATTCTCTGTAATTAAGGGAAAACATACCGTAATAAGAATATTCCCAGCTTCAAGCTCTTTCCCAAATTTTCAAGCTGTATCCTTACTGTACCAAGAATATTTCCAGCTTCAAGCTCTTTGCCTACTTTTCACAATCTGCTTTGATTAATGAGTATAGCCTCATTTTGCCTGACTAAATTTATATCGTAGCCTTTTTGCATGCCAATGATTTTTAAACCACACAGAAAATGATTTGCCCCAGATGGTGTTCCTAAGCACCGGAAGGCAAATAAATCATAAAAGACAACTTTTTAAAGTATATATTGCAAAACATTTATCTTCTAGACCTAATGTTTTATAAGGATGCCCTAAATTTTACTGCCTATTCTAGAACAAATGATTAATCTAACTTGTAATTTTATGTATATTTGTGAGACTAATGCTATCATAAAAACAGCCATTGACCAGGAAAGTACCTTTTATCTGTGGCCCAGATCTTCTCAAAGTGTTTTATCACTGGTGGAAAATATGCTTTTGTCTGTCAGTAGGGAAGTAATATAAACTCACATATAAGCTGTGCTTAAGCGACTGTGTTATTTAACATGAAGCATTGATTGAATCTGGATTTGGGTACAGCTGTCACATGGGCTGCTGGAAAATATGGTGAAGTTTTGGATTTGGGAAGTGACAGATAACGCTAGATAAACTTTACCAAACTCTAATTATGTTCCCACCATCACCACACACATGTTCACCAAAGAGGTTGTACCTGTATTTACCTGGCCTGGGTTTCATAGTCATACACACACACAAAGGGTTAAGAAAATAAAACACAATCAAGAGAAAGCAAAACTCTGGAAAAATTTTGCTGGATAATCGAGAAATGCCTAAGTAATCTATTTTCAATGTAATTGCATTATATGTAAAAGGGTGTTTATTTGCTGAGACTATGGGTCATTAGGGCTGGTTTTTAATTTTTTAAATTTGTATAAATTTAAGAGGTGCAAGTGCTATTTTGTTACATGGATATGTTGTATAATGGTAACACCTAGGCTTTTAGTGTAACCATCACCGTAATAATGTACATTGTGCCCAATAGGCAACTTCTCGTCCCTTCACCCTCCCCCTAAGCTACTCTCCAGTGTCCATTGTTCCACACTCTAGGTCCATACATGTGCATTGTTTGGCTCTTACTTATAAGTAAGAATGTGTGGTTTTGACTTCAGTCTCTGTTTCACTTAACACATACACCCTCTCGAGACTGAACCAGGAAGGCATTAATTCCCAAACAGACCAATAACAAGCTTCAAAATTGAATCAGTGATAAATAGCCTACCAACCAAAAAAAGCCTGAGACCAGATGATTCACAGCCATTGAGATAATGGCATTCAGCTCCATCACGTTGCTGCAAAAGACATCCATAACAATTTCATTCTTATTTATGGATGAATAGAATTCCGTTGTATACGTGTGTGTGTGCGTGCTCATGTGTATGTGTGTGTTTTTTATTTTAATTTTTATTTCAGGTTCAGGGCATGTGCAGGTTTGCAACATGGCAAACTTGCGCCATGGGGGTTTGTTGTATTTTGTCACACAGGTACTAAGCCTACTACCCAATAGCTACTTTTTTCTCTTCCTCTCCCTCCTCCCACCCAGTGTCAGTGCCTTAGTGTCTGTTTTCCACTTTGTGTGCATGTGTTCTCATCATTTAGCCCCCACTTATAACTGATAGCTTGCAGTGTTTGGTTTTCTGTTCCTGCATTAGTTTGCTAAAGATGATGTCCTCCCACTCTATACATGTTCCTGCAACGGACATGATTTCAAATTTTTTGTGGTTGTGTAATACTTCATAGCGTATATGTACCACGTTGTCTTTATCCAATCTACCGTTCATGGACGTTTAGGTTAATTCCAAGTCTTTGCTATTGTAAATAGTGCCAAAATGAACATATATGTGTATATGTCTTTATAATAGAAAGATTTATATTCCTTTCTTATATACCCAGTAATAAGATTGCTGGGTCAAGTGGTAGTTCTGTTTTTAGCTTTTTGAGGAATTTCCACACAACTTTCCACAATGATTGAACTAACTTACACTCTCACCGGCAGCATTCCTTTTCCTCTGCAGCCTCAACAGCAATTGTTATATTTTGACTTTTTGATAATAACCATTTGGACTGCTGTGAGATGATATCTCACTGTGGTTTTGCATTTTGCTACTAATTTTTGATACTGAACCTTTTTTATAGGCTTGTTGGCAGCAGCTATATCCATGTTTAAAAAATGTCTCTTCATATCATTTGCCCACTTTTTAGTTTTTATTAATTGTAAATTTGTTTAAGTTTATTTTTTTAATTTTTTTTTATTATACTTTAGGTTCTGGGGTACATGTGCAGATCATGCAGGATTGTTGCATAGGTACTTGCACGGCAATGTGGTTTGCTGCCTCCATCCCCCCGTCACCTATATCGACATTTCTCCCCATGTTATCCCTCCTCAACCTCCCCACCCCCTACTTCCCTCCCCTATCCCACCCCAATAGACCCCAGTGTGTGATGCTCCCTCCCTAAGTCCATGTGTTCTCATTGTTTAACACCCGCCTATGATGGAATACTATGCAGGCATAAAAAACGATCTGATCTTTGTTTTCATCCATGTCTGTACAAAGGACACAAATGAGGAGTTTGTGTCCTTTGTACGGACATGGATGAAAACAAAGATCAGATCGTTTTTTATGCCTGCATAGTATTCCATTGTGTTTATGTGCCACATTTTCCTTGTCCAGTCTATCCATTGGGCATTTGGGTTGGCTCCAGGTCTTTGCTATTGTAAACAGTGCAGCAATGAACATTCGTGTGCATGTGTCTTTATAATAGAACAATTTATAATCTTTTGGATATATACCCAGTAATGGGATTGCTGGGTCAAATGGAATTTCTATTTCCAGGTCCTTGAGGAATCACCACACTGTCTTCCACAATGGTTGAACTAATTTACACTCCCAACAACAGTGTAAAAGTGATCCTATTTATCCACATCCTCTCTAGCATCTGTTGTCTCCAGGTTTTTTAATGATCACCATTCTAACTGGCGTGAGATGGTATCTCAATGTGGTTTTGATTTGCATTTCTCTAATGACCAGTAATGATGAGCATTTTTCATATGTTTGTTGGCTTCGTATATGTCTTCTTTTGCAAGGTGTCTGTTCATATCCTTTGCCCACTTTTGCATGGGGTTTTGTTTTTTTCTTCTAAATCTGTTTAAGTTCTTTGTAGATTCTGGATATTAACCCTTTGTCAGATGGGTAGCTTGCAAAAAATTTTTTCCCATTCTGTTGGTTGCCAGTTAATGCTACTGGTTGTTTCTTTTGCTGTACAGAAGCTCTGGAGTTTAATAAGATCCCATTTGTCTATTTTGGCTTTTGTTGCCAGTGATTTTGGTGTTTTAGCCATGAAGTCCTTGCCTATGCCTATGTCCTGAATGGTTTTACCTAGGTTTTCTTCTAAGGTTTCTATGGTGGTAGGTCTTATGTTTAAATCTTTAATCCATCTGGAGTTAATTTTAGTGTAAGGTGTCAGGAAGGGGTCCAGTTTCTGCTTTCTGCACATGGCTAGCCAGTTTTCCCAACATCATTTATTATACAGGGAATCCTTTCCCCATTGCTTGTTTTTGTCAGGTTTGTCAAAGATCAGGTGGTTGTAGATGTGTGGCAATGTTTCCAAGGCCTCTGTTCTGTTCCATTGGTCTACATCTCTGTTTTTGTTCCAGTACCATGCGGTTGTGATTACTGTAGTCTTGTAGTATGGTTTGAAGTCAGGTAGCATGATGCCTATGGCTTTGTTCTTTCTCTTAGGATTTTCTTGGCTATGCAGGCTCTCTTTTGGTTCTATATGAAGTTTAAAGTGGTTTTCTCCAGTTCTGTGAAGAAGGTCAATAGTAGCTTGATGCAGATAGCACTGAATCTATAAATTACTTTGGGCAGTATGTCCATTTTCATGATATTGAATCTTCCTAACCATGAGCATGGAATGTTTCTCCATCTGTTTTTGTCCTCTCTTAGTTCCTTGAGCAGTTGTTTGTAGTTCTCCTTGAAGAGGTTCTTTACATCCTTTGTTAGTTGTATTCCTAGGTATTTTATTCTCTTTGTAGTAATTGTAAATGG